TTTAGGCTTTTTTGAATACTTCGAAAATTTACAAAAAGGTGTAAAATATACTTTGTCAAAAAATGACAATATTTACAAAAAAAATTAATTGTACTATAATTTCTATATGTACTATAATCGTTGTAAATTATACTAATAAAAGGTGGTAAAGAGAAATTGACATATTTAAATTTGAGAGAAAACGAAGTAATTAGGACGATGACTTACTAATAATAAGATCAAAATAGTTTAAATCAAGGAGAATAATCGATCTTGTATTGCTATCGATTTGACGTAGAATTATGAATTAGTATATATTGAAGAGAAATTTTGAGATAAATTGAAGAACATCAAACTCTGTGAAGCGTACTTTTCAGCGAAAAATGTTCAAATTGCATTAACCAGAGTATCGCGTTATGAAAAACCACGTTTCAAAAATTTCACAGCTTACAAACAAGTTGACAGCATTAGATGAGGAGCTAAATGATAAACTAAAAGCATCGCCACTACTCCGCAGCTTACTGAACTTATATAATGCGTTGGTCACAAGTTTGGAGAGTAGATGCGAAAAGGATTTTACTCTGGACGCCATCCAAAGCAGGTTAATGGACGAACACAAAAAACACGAAAGAAATCAAAGTGCAGAAAACGGCGGCGAAACAGCATTATAAACGGTGTAGTACAATAAGTCCGATCAATGAGAAATTTTCTTCTTTTTGGGAAACCGGGTCACTTTCAGGGAAGCATTAAGTATAAAAATTGGAAAGAATTTCAAAATATCTTGATCTTCGTTTAACATCTGTTTTAATGCACAATATTCAATTTTAAAAATGTGTTAGTTTTAAGTCAGAAAAGGATGCAGATGGTTCACTGATTTAAGGTTAGGGAGCCATAAAACAAAATGGAAGAATTTTTCAGCAGTTTTGTCCTGATTGATACGTAGCTGAAGTGGACAATAGAAGTAGAATATTAAAACTGGTTCCATATTTATTAAATAAATCATCAGTTTTGGTCCAAAATTATCATGTAATGAAACTAGCAGTAAGAGAATACGAATTTAGTTTTGAAAGCAATGAAAATATAATGTACACAAAAATTGAAGCTGTACAATCACTCACTTACATAATTTTAACTATGATGCTTACACGAAGACTTCAAAGAGACAGCACAGAAAATTGAAGAGTAGATTCAAAAAATCCACATTCACGGCTATCTACAGGATCGATTAATAGATCAAGAGATCGATTAAAAACTAAATTGAGAAATAAGTTTCCTTCTACAAAAGTCCTTTCACTCGACTAGTTTTTGAACTTCAAAAAGAAATTGTCTGCAGAAGAAAGTGGGTTTGTTTACGAAACAGACACTGAGATAACTTATCTACAGAAACCCGTTCAATACAGAAATCTCGAGCAATCAAACAAAAGAGTATCAGCTAGAAAATTAATTAAACTTTTTCAGAAAGAACGTAGAAGCGAAAAGAAAGTGCTATGTGAACGGTACAAAGGAGAAATAGACAAAGAAATAGATTTCTTATTATATAACGATACATGGGGCACAGTGCCGACGCCGAAAGGAGACATTGTTATCTACAAGTGGGTCTTCAAGACAAAGAGGATAAGTATAGAACAAGATTTGCAGGGTTTTTGCAAACGCACGAATCACGGCAAAGTATCTGTGGCGGAACAGACTTTTTACAATGCTTGTAACAATTGCAGGACTGAACAACTTTATTATTCATCTTGATGTCAAGAAAGCGTTTCTTAGAGGAGAATTAGAGGCAAAAGCAGAAACAGAAAATGTAAATATAGTTTGTAAATTGGAGAGTTTCTACGAATTGAGATAAACTGTAGAATAACGATGGGAATGATAAGGGACTGTGGTTTTATATACATACTTATTTGAACATAAATACGAAAGAGTTAGGTTATGTTACATGAAAGCTATTGAAGTTATTTTTAATTATTAAGGCTCTGAAAATGGTGTATCATAATGTGTGTTTAATTGAAGAAAGCTGTAATAATTTTTATCGTATCGTTAAAGAAGAGGTGTATTTTTATTGTTGCTTTAAAATAATTCAGTTTTGAACTACAGATTCTAGGAGTCTATAATAATTTGCTTAATATTTCTGCTTAACAACTCTTGTTAAATTTGTACTAAAATGAAAGTAAATTTATTTGAATAAAAAAATAATATCAGTAAGAGAAATAATGTCAACAAGTATTTGAAGTTCAAAAAAATGGCAATTAAATTAAGAAAGTGCTATAAATTATGCTTGGAATTACTGCAATTTCTAGTAATTGCATGGTGGGATAATCGTGAAAAGTATTATTAAATGTGTTTATAAAACGAATATCGTATAACGTATGGACGCATTGCTCCTGCTGTTTATTTTTTGCACACACATTATACACATGTGTGTCGGTCAAAGCCTCCGTCACACAGCAAATAAGAATGATTAGATACATACGACGGATATAATTAATCCTTTGACTGCGGCTCGCTCTAAAATGGAGCTGTTCTTTTTACAACACGATATTTCTAAAATTATAAATCTGTAGCTATTATTAAAAATGAGGAAACAAACAATTTTTTATATTTACTTTCACTTGCGTTAATATTTAAGTTACATTTATTTACGTTTATTCAATCACGTAAATAACAAAACACTTAAGTTTAATAGTGTAGTGAATAGACTTGAAAAAAATTGCCAAGATGTATCACATAAAATTGAATTATCGTTGAGGACTTCGTTTAAAACTTTTCTGTCTAAGAAAAGTTTATATTGTGGATACTTTCTTATATTTTCTTTACATTTTTTGTTGACAATTTTTATCGTAACTTCCATAATGTGAAAAATATTCGGAACAGTCTTTACTGGCTCATCCTGTATACACCACTTTTACCTAAGAAGGGTTAAAACGTGAAATGTTATTTTAACTCTTTTCTCCTTTTATTTCGTGACACGTTTCTTTTTAAATCTTGCAAATATTTATACTATTTTTTGTCATTATTTTCTTCTCTGAACTATATCTTTTGAGTGCTTTCTTTTGAGGTTCGTTATTCTTCGTTTAAGTATAACTTTTTCGGTTAGAATTAAGACAGTTAAATGTCACAAAATCTGAATAAGTTAGATACATTTATAATATAAAAGACGAGATACTTCATTACAGTTTTGTTTCTTTATTAATATAATAATTTCATGTCCTATATTTATTTCATTATTTACTCAGTCATTTTTAATGTTTCAATTAACATACTATTTAATAAATACTGTTTTTACCGAATTTAAGCATTTTTTCTTTATCGCAGTACGTACAAGTATTTTCGACTGCAGCGGAAACTCGATCACAGAGGCAGAGAAACCTGACCACGACAGTTTTCTAAATTACATAGGTATTTTAAATCAAACAAATGACAGTGACGAGATTAAACAACTTTAAAAGTAAAATGAAAAATTATCTCAATTCAACAAACGTACATTTTCACGAAAATAGACAAGAATAAAAACACCTGAATGTTCCCATTTGTCAAACAACTTTGGAATTCGATAAATCAAAAATTAAATCCATTCCTAAATTCGTGCATGTAATTTTTAGATGTAGTAAAATTTCTAACAATATTCTTGAAGTCATGTTCAAATATTTATTCAGCAGAAATTGATTCTATTGAAGTTTTCAGGACAAATTTTATTATTAGCCTCTCCTCCCCTACTAACACTAGCACTTGTTCAGTATCTACGTTTAATTTGTAGATGACTAATAAAGTAGAAAAATAAGTGAGCAGAAAGAAACATACAATTATTCATCTTCACAAAAGTCGATGCATATTTCCATAAAAGAGCCTTACTTCAATCCTTAAAAACGTGTCCCGAAACGACTTTGACCTGTGTCCATTGTTAACCGCCAAAGAACAAATTTGTACAATTCGTGGTTTCGATAGAATCGATTGACAGAAGTTTAGAGCATTCATTCGGCAAAGACGGAGTGGATATGAAAGAATATCGGCGCGAGAACTGAAAGAATTGAAGGAATGAAAGAGAAGAAGGGTGCATTCGTTGAAAAAGCATACACGAGATTTCATTTCCGAGAAGGGCTGTAAAGATTGCTCGCGTGCAACCCTCTATACAGCGTTCTCGCAAACCCGACCATATTGCTCCATAATAATAAGGTTAATGCTTTGCAAATTAAGTAGACGCGAAAGGCCTTTCGCGTGGCTTTACGTTCGTTTAAACTGCTCAAGCTCGATCTTTGCGACTATACTCGCTTAAGTTAACTGGATTCGTGGCTATGATATTTCCTGTACGAAAAAATGAGGAACGTAATGTGTGATTTAACTTGTAAATGGTTTTTCATGCACGGTTCAATGGCTTCTCTTGCTGCCATTTTGTAGAATTGTACCACGTGGCTTTAGACAAATTGGACGAACTGAAGTTTTATCAGAATAGTATACATACTGCCTATATTTTATTCATTACGTAGAGCCTGATAAAAATATAAGATTTATACGTGAACAATCTAATGTGAAGATTTAACAAATTTGTTGATATGAACATTTTTGTTTGAAACATAAATATCGCAACATTTGCAAGAAATGAAGAAAAAATGAATGATGAAGCTCTGGGTGAATTCCGCGTAAAAAATAATAACTTAAAATGTAACGAAACTAACAGAATATAAAGCACGACGGAAATTAATCATGCGGAGATTTCGTTCAATAAATTGTTCACGAGTGCAATAATTTCAAATGCAGTCGAGATAATAATACAAAAAATAAAGTAAAAGTTATCGTTCTATAAATTCCATCAACTATATTGTAAGCGAAAGGAGTGATTTAAAATGACAGACGGGATAAAAGTTATTCATCCACAAATTCCATTAAATAACGTGAAAATACCTATCCACCACGGAACTTTATGAAACGTTACGAAAGAATTACGTTTTCAGAGAGCGTTCATTGAAGATTTATCAAATCTTATCAGGCTATTCAGAAAATCAACGACCTAAACATTACGTTCCACTTACCAACAACGTCGAGGTAGCCAGTTTGACTTTTCATTGGATCCGTGTTAATCTGACACATGTACCCTCCCCTGTCAGCTTCTCTTACTTCTCGTATGTGAAGAAACCATGTATGATGATCGCTGTGGGAAACGGCTATTCGATGGTTCTTCGTGATTACGTGACTTGCTATCGTCAGTATCGTTTGAGTGTCCACCTGTAGCCAAGCAACCTAAAAGATATTGGAAATGATTATTTATTAAGATATCTTGGCACAAAATTTGAGATATCTCCTCATTTTTATAATCAGAACTAATTTATCTTGTTTTAGAATATACATATAATTATTTACAACTATGTCTGGACTGGGTCTGATAACATTATAACAACTGATTCGTTACTAAAAAGAATTTGTACTGTGATTAGTTACCAAATAAATTGTTTCTTATAAGTGTGCTTATACAGGGTGTCTTATAACTAGTGTAGGTTCCTGAAATGGGGGGTAGCTGACGCGGATACAACATAATTGAGAATTAAAGAGGGTATAACGAGTGTTTTAATTGTGATTATTCTCCATTATATTAAATAGTACATTAGTAGCTAAAACTATAGGGTGTTTCATAACTAGTGTAGGTCCCTGAAATGGGGGGTAGCTGACACGGTTCTGAATAAGATTTCCCTTTGCAAAAATGGAGTTTGAAGCTTTGTTTTTGAATTATTAAGAAAAAACACGGACCAGCCATTGGACTCGGAGGTGTCGCTCTCGCGTCTGTGCACGCGTAATCCTCACGCTCTGATTGGTCCGTGTTTTTCCTTAATAATTCAAAAACGAAGCTTCAAACTCCATTTTTGCAAAGGGAAATCTTATTCAGAACCGTGTCAGCTACCCCCCATTTCAGGGACCTACACTAGTTATGAAACACCCTATAGTTTTAGCTACTAATGTACTATTTAATATAATGGAGAATAATCACAATTAAAACACTCGTTATACCCTCTTTAATTCTCAATTATGTTGTATTTTCGTATTAACGTGTGACATGTATTATATGTATATATTTTATATCCGCCAACACATCGAAAGCATGCAATAATCATATGCCTGTTAACGATAATATTCACTGGTCATAATGTACATTAAGCTTGTACTATTTTTTGTAGCAAATTGTTTGAAATTTCACATTTTAATTAAGTTCTAAAGGTTCAATGTTCTGATTGAAATTTGTTAGAATAACACAGTATTACGTTTTCATTAGTGGTATTTCGCTTAAATGTTTCATTTACTGTCGCACAATTAAAGCTCGCTAATCGAATAGCAATAAACATCATTTGTTATGCTGAAGGAATGAAAAGTCGAATGCTCCTCTTAATGATGCGTTTTGTATCAAATAACGTAGTAGGTAATTTCGTTATTAGAAGCTATGCTTACTTTCATTCTCAAAATATTATATTTAATTTTATTGCATTTTTATTTTATATTTCGTTTATATACGCATATGTACAAAATATAAAATATAAAATATAAAATATAAAATATAAAATATAAAATATAAAATATAAAATATAAAATATAAAATATAAAATATAAAATATAAAATATAAAATATAAAATATAAAATATAAAATATAAAATATAAAATATAAAATATAAAATATAAAATATAAAATATAAAATATAAAATATAAAATATAAAATATAAAATATAAAATATAAAATATAAAATATAAAATATAAAATATAAAATATAAAATATAAAATATAAAATATAAAATATAAAATATAAAATATAAAATATAAAATATAAAATATAAAATATAAAATATAAAATATAAAATATAAAATATAAAATATAAAATATAAAATATAAAATATAAAATATAAAATATAAAATATAAAATATAAAATATAAAATATAAAATATAAAATATAAAAAGATATCCATTCAAATTGAATCTCTCATTCATAAAATTATATACATATATTTATACAAAGAGTTGAACGCAGCTATGATTTAAATAAGCTTATAATTTCTGATTTCCCCGAAATATCACGAATGATTGAGAAAATAATTTCAGGGATGAAACGGTGTAAATAAAAGTACCGCTGTATTAGTGCGCTACTGCAATTGGATTACAATTTCATTTACTGAAGAACTGAAGAAAATGGCAAATATTTGATGCATCTGAACAAGTTGCGGTAAAAAAGGTACACCATAAAGCGTTTATACTTTCATCTCAAATTAAAACCATCGTAGATATGGTAAAGTTCTCTCCCAATATTTACTGTCAATAAGTTGAAATCAATGATAGCCGAAATTACAATAAAAGACGCACGAGATCAAAAGATTAATCTTTCAAAGGTAACAGAAAACTTATTTATTTAAATATAAAATAAATAATTTTAATTACCAGTAACACAAAAATAAATAAATTTAATTATACATAGCAGCAGAAAATAAAATAATTAATTTTGCAGGAATTCAATGTTTTAGGTTATTTTACAATACTTGAATATTTAAATACATAAATACCAAAGACAAATGGTATTACTAATAATTATAATTAAAAAACGATGTATTATGATTTATATAGAAGTTAAAATTTGGAAGTTTTTGAATTTTTGAATTTCTAAATTTACAAATATTCAAGTCCTCAAATGGCTAACATTGAAAATATATTCGAATACAAAATTTTCATATTTTATGTCAAACAAATGACCTATCATCCAACTCTTACACTAGTCACAAAACACTCGTATATAACTAAACTACGAAGGTGCATAACGTTACGATATGACTCTGCACAATATACATAAAATATCTGTAAATCAGATGCAATATAAATCTAATAAATACACATTTGTATAGGGAATAGATAATTTGTAGAATTGTGTTTAATCGATACATTTAACACGTTCAAACCCGGGATAACAGGTACAGCTCGGTGCAGATAAGGCGAAGTCGTAAATTAAACCATTAGGAAGCGGTACCGATTATTGCCGTGGTGGTATCTGCCTTATTTATTGCGGAATGAAAAAATTTCTCAGAACAAAATTACACTGATTCAAGAACACTTGATACAAATGGTTCTTATAGCAATTTCTTATTGAGAACTCAAGGTCCTACACTCAAAATTATTATGTTGATCACCCTTTTACTGCAAACTTTTACAGGCTTATAAATCAAATTTAATCTTCCACAAATTAAGTTCATCCTTTTACGGATTACATTCACTTTTCTATAAATCAGAATCATCCCCGTGCAACTAAAGTTCTGCAAGCGTTCCTTAAGCTGCTTCAACTAAAACGTAAAGTTATAATTAAAGAATTTTGTAAGTACGTAATAATGCTTAGGAAATAAAATTCTTATTTAACACGAAAAAGAATTATACGTGTAAATTCATATGCAATCAAAGAATACTTTCCATTTCAATATTTCGATACCAATGATTTTTATTGTTCGCTCGAAATCGAACCAGGACCCACTGTTTAACCAAAATGAAATTTAAAAGGAAGTTCCATTACGGAAATGGTGAAAAGTTTTTCCATTTCTTTTCGCTATAAACAATATCCAATTCTCAGGATATGCATCTATTTGAAACCGGTCTGCATACACTCTAAAGAATTTTTCACGGCAACCGAGGCAACGCTACTCCTATCGAAAGAACTTCCGTTACACCGGTAACTTGCTTTAACTGCTTTCCCTGAAAAAAAGGAAAGGAACGGGAACGAAGAACAAGCAGCGTAAACATTCACCCTACTGCCAGTAGTTTGGTGCCAGTCGGCGGGAAAAGAAGAGAAAAAAATATAGCGTGGAGGATGTTTAAGGGCGATGGAAACACGAAAAGCCGACGTTCCTTGGCACAAAAGCGTGGCCTGCGTCGGGTTGCAGTAGATCAAGCCGTTAAGAAAATGTGATCCGTTTGTAAAAAAGTCTGAAAGTACCGAAAACTATTCACCCAGGGGACCGCATTGAGGTTGTTCCGTCTGCCAACGTTGAATCATTCGCACGCATCTGCATTCTCCGTTCTGCTTTGTGCCGCGGTTACCAGCATGTGATCACGAATTTTCCACGCTTATGTGCACACACGCTTTGGTACCGGTCCTGGCAATATTTTCATTCGAACCGCGTGCATCTACTCTCAAAGGCTAAGGATAATGGAATTGCCATTTCAGTGAGTAAACATTTATCAATGGATATGTTATAGACTGTAATTTACGGAACGGCGAATCCAGACTTTTCGGATTCTCAGTTTTGCTACCTATAAGATGTCCATCTCACTTATATACGTAATTTTCAAATTTGTTTATTAAACTTCTTTATACATAAGGAAATATGGAAGATTTAACATATCTTATAATTTTTACGTATGTCGGTTTGACATCTTCACATATGACTTTTTAGACAGTTGCCTCAGTGAATGCTGATTGTTCAAGACAGATTTTAGGTATTGTTAGGAAGAAGTTCAAATGTTAGGGATATTTTGGGTTCTTAATTGTCCAAATTATAGTTAAGATTAAATTCCAAAATGAAGTCATGATACAAATACGATTTGTTACATTTGAACTGTAATGTGTGACATATGTGACAACATATGAGCCAAGAGGTCAAAGCGATGAAGAGAAGAAATATGTAACATATGAATGTAACATGTGAAATATAATATATAAAATATGTTGCATGACAATACAAAAATATAGTGAAGCTAAAGGTCCACAATGTGACGAAAAATAATATCCAATAAATTAAATTAAAATTGAATAACCAAAATGAAACGTCTTTGGATACATATTGGTGGTCAGAGTTCTAACTTCATTTTTACCTAAGTCTACTCTTTTAAATAGTGTTAGTACTACTTCCTCTGGCAATGTCATACAAGAATGGTAGGAAACAACACTATGATTAGACATTTCGTAATTTTCACATACACAGTCAATTATTATCTTCTTCATAGAACATTCTCTTACTATGTTGGACAAGATTATAACTATCCTTATAAAAACCACATATTTATCAATTAAAAATAGGTCTTTTTTTCGATCAACAAAGTTTCTGATTAAATCATCAATTTCTTTCTGTAGCAAATCAATAACAGTGTTCAATTCTTGAACTGTCGAATATTTGACGTTCTCTTTGCGAATACTATTCGATAGCCCATATGTTTTCAAACATTTTTATATCCGGAAAACTTGTCGGCCATTTTAAAATTTGAATACTGTGATCCTTCAGCTAT